AAAAAAAAAAAAAAGATTAAGAAGAAAGTAACATTAAATATAAAACAATTTAAATATTATGTTCTATTGATGCAGCATCTGATATATAGATATATATATAGAGAGAGAAGAATTTCTCCCATAATCATCACACCACTGATTAATCAGGCCTAAGATTGAAAACATTAGCTGCATGCTATTTTGATCATACTATGAAATAAATTATGATCTTTATATCTACTTTTTCATGAAAGTACTATTGGGACAACAGAAGGAATATCAAATCCAAACCATTTTTTTTGCCTCAGTGGATAAGATTTATATTTTTTTCCAATACAGTTCTTGAAGTATGACAACAAACATAAGAAGTCATAAATTGTCATCCAAAACTATAACAGAAGACCAAATTCAACTTTGGCATTGTAACAGACCCTGATAAATAATCCAATTCATCTAACTGACAAATATGAGTTGATAAGGCAAACTCCAAGTCTTTCAATATAAGGATTTAATTTAGAGAATACAAACCTGAATAGAGTGAGAAAAATTCAGAAAGGATTCAGAAAGACTCTCAGGATTGTATTATGACAATGTTATTCATCAGGTTTGATCTAACTTTTTCCTCACTCAATAATTCTTTAAAATATAACTACAAATTCAGCTGAGTTAAAGGGTAGGAAGTTAATTTCAATAAGAACAAGGACTTCAGGGGCAACACAAACAAAACAGTCAAACAACAAGAATAAAATGTCCTAAAAGATCTCTCTTGCAATATGAAGCACTTGTTTTAAATTATCAATCAGGAAACATAGGGGCTTAGAGTTACCTTCTTATTGTGAATATGTTAGTATAAGATAGTGTGGACTCATAATCTGTTAGGGAGGCAGGACTAACATAAAAGATGTGTTAGTAATTCTGTTTGCTGACACCTTCTGCTTCATTTTATGCTCATCTCTATACTGTTGCCTTAGAAGATTGCCCTATTCAAACTGCATATCTCACGTTCCCTTGTTAGCTTGTATTTGAGTTAAGCCAAAGAGGAACATTAACTGGAATATAAATGAGGAAAAGAAAATTTGGGGGATAACACCACCACTCCTTCCACATTATGACATCTTGAGCAATTGCTGAATCCCTATGTAATTAGTTTTCCCAGTGGGCATGCCCATTTCTAAGACACTTGCCCTTCTGCTTTAGAGGTGGTAAAAGCTTCATGCTATTTCTCCTCTCTGAATATCAACCATTACTTATTCTTTTTCTTAACTGGCATGCATCTCTTTAGTAGCCCATTCATTAAAGTTTGCTCAACTGAAATATATGGGGTAAACATTTTCTGTCACTACGTGACATATAAGCAAGGAGCAGACACAGAACAACAACAAAATTATTTTGTGATTTAAAAAAATAATGAATTTGGACTTTTCAATATATTGGAATATATAGTTTATATAACTATGCATGGATGTTGTTGAAGAGGGGGAAATGTTTTCTTTGGTGAAACGCTCTTATGAAATGCTGATGCCATAAATGTTAGGCAAATATTTTTGTTTTCTATCATTCAGTTTTTTAATATGTTAACATTCTCTGTCAGTTGCTAAGAAAGATTAGTATATTTAGCACTTTCCAAATATAATTCAACACAAATATGATTTTCCCAAAGCATTTCCTAAGACTACGAATCCTCTAACTATATTAAGAAAAACACTGGGTGAGTCTGCTGAGGGTTCACAGAACGATAGGTTTTGTGACTTGAATATTTCCCAAGAGAACTCTCTTAGATATTTTTCTCCAAGAATTCACTAGGAAACAATTCTGTGAAATATATGCAGGTCCCCCCCACCACCACCAGGACTAAAGAGTCTTGATGCAAACAAATCATAGACCTGCCCCAAGATAATTAATGTACTGCTGAGCATTGCAGTTGACTATGGCAACAAGGCAATAAGAAAGCTATGACTGAGAAAGGATAATCCCACCTAGAACTAAGAATTGAAAAGACCTGGAGGGGATCATCACACTCCAGGATTATATTTGGGGTTTTTACTAGTTCTGGTTCAAAAGTCTGAAGTCATCAAAAATTTGGAAATGTAACTAATTAAAATGTAACTAAAATACAATTTTTGAATTATATTTGTAAATATTACTTTTAAATGGACTTCAAATACTTGTATATATTGATCAGCATATTTTCTCTCAGGAGAAATATTTTCTTGGGAAGCCAAAGCACAATTTTAAGGTTATTTTGTGGCATGGAATTGGAAAAAGGGGAATACTTGAAAAATCTTAATGACTAGTATATATCCATCTCCAAGGCACAGATATATCTACCTCTAGAGTAACACTCCTTGCTCACAGAATGGAGATGAAAACATTATCCAATATTTATCTCTTATTTTCTGTTTTCATATAAATAATTGTTTTATATTGAAATACTGTTTGGTGAATAGTCTTTCTTTAGTTTATTCTGTCAAGTACTTACTGTACTTGCTTGTCAAGGAAGAAAAAAATCACAATGTCTGTTTTACGTATAATCATATTCATTTGCTTGACAGTGTGGCTCAATGTTCAATGACTGATGGATAAATTGGTTTATTCACATATCAGTTTGTGTAATCAACTGCTGAATGAGATTTTGGGATTGTATCTATATCCTAAATGTAAAAATTCATATTTCTTCTCAGACAAATATGTTAACTTGATAATTTAAATCTTATAAAATTGTTTTAGTTCTGTATCTTTACATTATTGATCTCTACTTTCCCTAACAACACTATGCAGTACAGTACTTTTTCCAATTTTTAAAAATTTTTTAAAAAATTTTAGTTGGACACAATATCTTTAAGTATTTATTTACTTGATGTGGTGCAGAGAATTGAACCCAGTGCCTCACTCATGCTAGGCAAGCACTCTAGCACTCTAGCACTGAGCCACAACCCCAGCCCTCCAATGCCTTTTGATATAAAGTTTTCTAATGCTCTACATCAAGTAAAGTTTCTATAGCAATCAAAGAATACATTTAACCAATCATTTTAATTCTTTCATGTACTAGGTAAACAGAATATATGGTATCTAAAATAGTCCTGTACACATCATGTAGAACCACAAGAATGGAATCTTAAATAATAGAATAAGTCATACTCTGTGTGTATAATATATCAAAATACACTCTACTGTCACGTATATCTAAAAAGAAAAAATGGCTAAAAATATATAACAGTCCTATACACATAGTAGTAAGCCTACAAATATGTCAAAGAAGCAGGAATATTGTACAAGGAGTATAAAATCCTTAGGGAGAACTTCATAAAGTATAGAATGTTTTATGACTTGCAAATACACAATATTCATTGAGGGTGACCCATAGTTAATAACATATTTTGTACTTCTCCCAATCACTATCAAACCCATACTGGTGTGTAATGAACATAATTCATGATAAAAGATGCAACTATTTGATCAAATGTAACTCTAAAATTTTTAATCTTCCAGTTTTAAGATGTGAAACTTGATGTTTTTATACACAGATACTCATATATTATGAAATAATCACAACAATCAAGCAAATTAACATATGCATCACCTTCATATAGTTATCATTTTTGTTTTTGTTTTTGTTGTTATTATAGCCAATTTTTAAAATGGAAATTACATTAAGTAGACTTCCAGTCATCAGAAAGTATATTGGGTAAACTAATGAGGAAGCAATAAGGTCTATGAAACTGTATAATATTCAATTACATAATTTGGAATCACAGATCACGACACCTTTAACTCATATTTTCAAGCAGCCTATAACAGAGTAGGGGACCTATACAAGTTTGTGATTAGAGTTCATACTCTATAGATGACTCTCAATCTCTCTTTGCCTGTTAGTGATATAGAATAGAGAGATAATGTGGTGGGAACATGAAGTTAGGGAAATAATTTTATAAACTGGGCCGACTGTGCTGATCCCCACATGCTGTCATTAAAAAAAAGAAAAAGAAAAAAAAACAATTTACCTATTGCTCTGCCTGGTCAACAGGATATGTTACATTCCACATGAAACTACCTGTTATCTGCAGGAGACATACAGGCCCTAAACACCAATAAGAAGAGTACAAGTTATCTTGAAGGGAGGTGAGGGGGACTTTTGTGACTCTTAATACAGACCAGATCCCAGAACTCAGGGAGATGAGAATAAATCCCCGTAACCATTGAATCTGTAAGAACAGATTTCACGAAAAGACCTAGAGTTGTCATGCAAAGTGTAGATTTGGAAGTCCGATATCATCCTGTTTTCAGTCAAAAGTCGAGAAGTGGGCCCAGGTGGTACTCTCTGGAAATGGCCTTGGGACCCTAATAAAACTGGAGGTCAGGAGGCACAACATACTTCTCCTCTTTTAGAGGACACCCCAGGCCCCCCACGCCTCCAACCCCCATTCTCAAGAGTGTCCCCTTTTCCCTTTTCCTATCCCTTCTAATAAACTCACGCCTGTTACTCTAAGTGACATGTCTGAAATCTTTTGGGCATGATTGTAAGAATCATGGTTTGAAAAGGGAGGGGGAGGGTCTCTGCTCTGCCTCCATTTCAGGAAAGGGTTCTACCCTGTAACAGTAGTATTATCACCCTTACCAGATTAAACTTTGTTTGACTTTTGATTGTCTTTTAAAATATGAATAAAATATGAAAATATTCATATATCTGGCATATATGAATCATTGTGAAAGTACTTCAGGTCAGAGAGTTATATCTTTACATATATAAAACTGAATGCTTAGATTTATATGGGTAAAGTCACAAAATGATCATGTCATGATTAAGATCACATTTTTAAACATTGGTATGTAGTCATCTCTCAAGTGGTCTGAGCTCTAGTGATGGGCGGGGTTCTGTGTAACATTCTAAAATCTCTAAGCACCACAGGCATAAGCCAACTGACAAAGAGGCGGAGCCAAAGGCACCCAAGGCAACCAGAGTAGCCCTCTGGGCAAAGTTCAGTCTCCCAGTTGGTTACTCTCTCCTAATGACCCCTCTAAATTGAAAGGTCCACAGACAAACCTCACAGGGACAATGAGTTACAGTCGTCCTCCTCCCAATGTGGAAGGCATGACCTCCCTTAAGGTGGACAACCTCACCTACCGCACGTCGCCCAACACCCTGCGTCGTGTCTTCCAGAAGTATGGGCCTGTTGGGGATGTGTACATCCCAAGGGATCGCTTCACTAAAAAGTCCCGCGGCTTCGCTTTTGTCCGTTTCCACCACAAGCACCACGCTGAGGACGCCATGGATGCCCTAGATGGGATCGTACTGGATGGCAGGGAGCTAAGGGTGCAGATGGCCCGCTATGGTCGTCCCCTAGATTCTCACCAAGGCTGCCGCTGGGGAACGTCGCCCCACAGGTAGGTGGCCCTAGGATAGTGACAACTACAATGGCTAGATCTGTAGCCCAGGGCATAGTCGTCCAGAGCCATTCCAATACCAGGAGCCAATCCTGGTCCCGAGATCCCTATCCAATTGATCACTCTCGTTCTTGCTTTCATTTCCACAGGAGCTCTCCATCAACCTCTAAATCCAGATCTACCCAAAGATCCAACTCCAAGTCCTCCTCAGTGTCAAGATCTCCATCACTGACCGGGTCCCGCTCTAGGTCCAGAAGCCTTCCACCAGGACATGAGAAGAAATCAAAGTCCAAATCACCATCCAAGAGTGTCTCTGATTGTCCCAAAGAAGGAGGTGCTCATCTAAGTTAATGAACTACAAACAAGCCATCTGAGGACTAGGGACTAGGGTGGAGGGGAGAAGGGTTATACTCAGTTGGTGAGTCCTTGGGAAAAGCCACTAGCAATTGAAAACAAAATTTATGACATTGTGTAACATTTTACTTGTTTTAAACCTTGGCCTAAGGTGGTAAATTCTATTTTATATAGCATTTTGTTTGTGTTATTTGAAAAACAATATTAGAATATCTTCTAAGTCAAGTGAAAAACTTCAGTTTTCATTACTAGTTTATACATTTGAAGTAAAATTTCATCTTCTTTTGAATGCTCACTTGTTTGGTTTGAAAGTAAACAGATTAACATAATTTGTGGCCTCACAATTTAATGTATGCAGCCACTTCTTGTTAGTAGTCCAAAACTGTGTAGTGATTAAATCTTTATTGCCTTCACTCTTTAAACTAAAAACCTATAAACGTTACTGTAGATTTATTTACAAGTGCTATTTATCTTCTGATCTTAATTGTAATCTAAAGATGCATTTGTATGAAGACATTTCAGGTGAAAAGAATTGATTATTAAAAGAATAATTTACCAAACAATTCTAATAGCACGCATTTCTGTGACTGAGACACAGGTGTATAGCAATTGAGTAATATCAGTTGTTAAAATGGTGGTTTTCAGTATGCAATGCTCAGCCATTTCATTTTTTCTCCTAGTGAAAAGCTCTTACATTAGGATGACGTGTTGTGGAGAAACAAATGATTGCCTGATTTATTTTAAAGTTTGACAACTACACTTTCATTTACCTAGGTCTTGCATATATCTAAGAATGCATAATACCATGAGTGCATGTAGCAGATGATAAATAGACCTTTAGTTTTTCCTCTCACCTCCAAAATAGTAAATCCATTCATCTTCATTTATGAACTTAAGTATGAAAAATCTTAAGAAATCAAATGATTTATAACTTTGCAATGACTGCTAACATGCTATGACATTCTGTGACAATTTTCTGAAGTTTAAGATTTTTCTTAGTGTTTAAAAAATAAAAATAGAAAGCTCACTGTCATATTCTTATTCATTAAGTTGTAAAACAATATTCATAAAATTGTGAAACAAAAATACTTTGAGGTCATCCATTTCAAATGTTGCCTTATAAGCAATAAATTATCAAGACAGCAGAGTACCAATCTTTAGAGATCCAAGATATAAATATTTTAATTTAGCAAAGTCTCGTATCTGCTATAGCTTCATAGCATTCTTCTCCAAGGTTGTCATGACCTTCCTCTGGATCAACCCTGAATCTTCTTAAATTGTCTTCTATGATTCAGCTCAATCCTCCACTTTAACTGACTCACTTTGAATAAATCTGGGAGAGAGTTGGTCCTAGCTTGACTTTGGAGTTTGGAAGTGCATTCTGATCCCTTGGCTTCTCTTTAACTCAGCATTTGCTGGCACTAACTCTAGCCCCATTCAACTTTTCCTCTTAACTTCACATTGCCAATTCAGCATCCTGTTTCATGCACTAGTTTTAATTGTTCCTGAGTATTTTTCTTTGTCTAACCAACTGACTAGATCAAACTTTCACAGATATATTCAAGTCTTTCATATTACAGTTTATGAAACTGAAGTCTACAGAGATTAAATGATTGGAAAATTGTTCATAGATTTCATCTTGAGTCTCTCAAATTCTCAACTCAAACCTCTTTCCTACATATTGAATTACATTAGTTATAACCTTTCCATAAATCAAAATGTAATGTTTGGGAATAGATATTACAAGCAAGACTTTTAAATAGACAATAAATGTAATGTAGGGCCTCAAGATTTGAAACTTTAAAACTTTAGGGAAATAAATCTGTTACTAGTAGCCATAAATGACATAAAAATCAATGATTATTAGCTTAATGAAACCTCTGTTTAAATCTTTTAAGCACAAACACATCATATATGTGTATACATATACACACATGCGCACGCGCACACACACACACACACACACACAGATGCAGACACATACCTCCTCTCACTAATTAAGACTTTGCTAAACTTTTAGTCATCTTAAAAATCCCATCAGGGAGCTAATTGGTCACATAACATCATCTCACTCTTTATTAAGGTATCATTGAAAAGAAATTTGAGTTCCCACCAGGACAATTTTCTTTCTTAGTATAAACCAAATGTTCTGTAGTACTTAACTTTAGGATATTTTCCTTTACTTGAGAATTAAATGAGTATTACTGGGCCAAGGTAACAGAATATATTGTATAATATATGAAACAAATACAAAAATAGAAATAATTTGAAAGGAACTCATAGTACAGAGAAAATTGATTTAACAGAATTAACATTATATGCCATGACCGTATTTAGTTCATTAGCAAATGAAAAATACTGCTCATTTCTTTCAACTTATACTCAATTTCAGTATCTAATAAATAGTTGTTACATAATTTACAGAAAAAAACTGCCATTTTTCTATTTATCAAAATTAAACACAACCAAAATCCAAGTAATAAATATATTAACATAGAAAATAACTTTTACATGACAAATTTATCAAAAATTACTCTTTGATATTTAATTAGATCAATCTGATCATATCATTTTCCTTGTGTAACTATTAGTGCTCTTCATTGTTAAGTGACAGAAATCCTTCACAAACTTATATTTAAAAAGGGAGTACACTGGCTTACAGATGCAAAAATGATAAGGCATCTCTAGCTTCAAGTATGTTTCAAAATCTTTCTGTTATCTCTATTTTTATACTTCTCTCTGATTTTTTCTCACCATCAAGTAAACAAAAGAGACACAAGCATCTTTGGTTTATATCCTACCAATTTAGCAACCACAGTGGAAAATAAATTCTCATTTAGAAGTTCCAGCTAACATCTCAGATTTAACCCTTAACCAAACCGCTTTTGGTCAGGTTTTCAGGCTTAAACCAATTAAAATTATCAACAACTTGAGACAACTGATTGGTCATAAGACTTTTACCATGACAGTAAATTCAGCTGCTCCTAAACCAGCTGGACTAAGATTGGGCAATAGACTTTTACCCCCTGGGATGCTAAGCAGGCAAAAATAAAAAGCTACTGCTTGTTCTTTAAAAAAAAAAAAAATCCAGTCCCAACATCCAAAGGTCAAATGTTTTTTTTTTTTTTTCTGATTTGTGAAAGCTAATCCAAAATAAGGGGAGGGGATTAAAAAAGAGTGGAATGAATCTGATCTAACCTTCCTATGTACATATATGAATGTGAAAATAACCACAATGAATCTCACCATCAGCTATATCCACAAGACACTAATTGAAAGAAAGAAAGAAAGAAAGAAAGAAAGAAAGAAAGAAAGAAAGAAAGAAAGAAAGAAAGAGAAAGAAAGAAAGAAACTATAGTAAATAGCAGAAAGATCAGTAGAGTAAGGGAAGGGATTGGGGAATGGCAGAAGAGAAGGGAAGGGGAAGTATTTGGGACTGAATTACAACAAATTATATTCCATGCTTTTATAATTATATCAAAATGAATCCTATTGCATGGCTAACTGAAAAGAGCCAATAAAAATTTTTTAAAAATAAAATATTTTAATTGTGCCTTAGTTCTAGGAGGAAAAAAAAACAAAACCTATTTTATAGTCATTGTCAACTATTTCCTCTTGGATTAATTTCACATTTCCATCTCAACCCCAGAGAGGTGGCCATAGTTTTCCAAAAAAGCCGAGGCCTTTCAACTCTGTTCTTTCTATCTGACATAGTTTCTCTCCACCAACACATGCTTAATTACTACTTACCTGTAGAACACTGCACTTAGATTGAAAGATTGACTTAAATGTACTATCTCTGTGAGACATTTTCCCACTCCAATTAAATAACCAAAATCAGTTGTTTGTGTTTACACATTATTACATTTATAAATCTTGTACAGCATGTTTTGATAAATTTATGTAACATTTCCCTCACATGGAATGTAAATTGGGAGTCTAGATTGATGCAACATTTGACAATATCTCTAGTATCTATAACAGTAACTGACTCAATTTATATGGATGGCTTAATTTATTAAATAAGTCAAATTGTGTAACACATCTCAAATTCTGTAGCTAAATGTTGTCATAGGAATGACTTAAATGAAGGATTCCAAAACAAGTGTTAAGTGGGGATGATAATAAATATTAAGTCCAAAAACTCTTACTTACAGGCCTGATTTAGATAGCATTGCAAATCAACATTTTTTTCACTAAGCCATCCTGACTACAGTAACACAAGGAACAAAATCAGTAAAGTCGGCACCCATTACTGTAAGCAAAATAACAATCGTAGAATTTTGGGGGGGGCGGTGCTAGGGATTGAACCCAGGGGTGCTTTAACACTGAGCACATCCCCAGCCCTTTTTATTTATTTATTTTTACTTGAGGCCTGGGTCTCGTTGCTAAGATTGGCCTCAAATGTGATATCCTCCTGCCTCAGCCTCCAGTCACAGGGATTACAGGTATGGGACCCCTGTGCTTTTAAAGTGCCTGTGACATTGTGGTTACTTTTGTTTCAGTATTTACTATATTAAAAGAAAACAAAATAAAAATGAAACTAGATGCCTTTGTGGAGAATCCCATAAGGAAATCTGGGTTAGCAGCAACCCTGCCAGAATCTTCCCCATATCCCCAGGTTGGAGATCAAACCCATCGCCTTGCCATGGACATGCACTCTACAACTGAGCTACACTCCCTAACATGCTGCCAGAGTATTTTAAACAAAAGTTGAAGCTATTAAGAGTGAAAAGCAAGAGGCCCCAATTGAAGAGAATGAGCTGTGGCCCTGGTGATTTGCTGAATATTTGCCAAATACTGTGATGCTTTAATAAGCATCTATGACATGAAGAATTCACAATTAGAAAACAGAGAAGTTCTTGGGCATCTGAAAATGAGAATCACTGGACTGTATTCAAGACAACTTTGGCATGACATTTGGTAAAGGGCCAACTGTGTAATGAACTTGGTCTCATTCAGGCTCTGTCATTTAACTCTCAAAATAGTGGGACCTATGAGAACTGGAAAAAGCCTCTGGAACGTCTGAGACAAGGCTCAAGCGCTTGGTGTATCACGAACACTTCACAACATGGGCGAGTTTACAATGAAATGAAACCTAACATGTATAGAGTCACTGCTAGGTAATAATGGGAAAGATAATGGACGCCTAGACAACCAACCTTAGTAGCTAGGCTGGGGGCGGGTCTAAAGCACAATCTCTACGGAGGCTGAGAAGGACAGTGAGAGACGACTGGGGAAGAAGCTTATACGGGATAGAACTGAAGCGTGGGATCCTGGTATTCGCAACTGAACCACGAAATAAAGGAAGCAGAATTCTGGTCCTTGAAATTTAACTGTGACTTAATAGGAAATTCTTAATTAGTGAGATCAAGATGGAAAGCTCAAGTTCAGAGGAAGAAGAAGATAAGTCTTCGGCCCAACGCAGAAGTCAGATGGATCGATTGGCTCGGGAAGAAGCATTCTATCGATTTGTGAATAACCTGAGTGAAGAAGATTACAAGCTTATGAGGGATAACGATTTGCTAGCCACCATAGGTGAAAGTACAGAAGAAGAACTGATGAGAAGACTACAACAAATTAAAGAGGCTCCACCACAGGAATTGGGTAAATAGGGGCAAATTTTGCTTCGGGGATAATAGGATGGGATGGATATGAAACTGTTTGTTTGCGCGGTTAGGAATCCAACCAGGACCTAGCACATGCTAGGCAAGTCCTCCGCCACTGAGCTTCATCCCCATCCTGATAAGGAACTTCATAACAGTAAATTCAGTCAGATGTCATTGTCAGATTAATGTGGTGCTAAGTGACTACACATAAAAAGGTGCAGTGGCAAATCCCAGCGTCTCTCATGAGATTGAGGCAGGAGAATCTCAAGCTCGGAGCCAGCCTCTGCAATTTTTCGAGACCCTGCCTCAAGGTAAAAATAAAAGGAGCTGGGCATGCAACTCGCTGATAGAATATAATATCTTCCGATTCACTTTGGGGAAGTTTTTAATTAGACAATGTGAGAAATACCCTATGAATTTTTTCTTGGTTTTCACTCTCCGTGTAAAATGCTTTATTCTTCTTAATTATTCTATAGAGACGAATGTTTTTTTCTTTTGCTTAACTGTATTAATTTTACTAATTGTGTTCAGTGTGATAGTTTCACACTTGCATACATAGTAAGTACACAGATCAGATCCAACAACCATTGTCCACCCTCTTGCACATACATCTTGCACAACTCTATTAATCACTGTCTACATTCAGGTCATCCTTTTATAGCTTCCACATATGGTACTTGTGGTACTTGTTCTGTATCTGTCTTATTTCTCTTAACATAATGTCCTCCAGTTCCATCCATTTTAGTATGAATGACAGGATTCCATTCTTCTTTTTGGGTGAAAAGACTCCATTGTGTTTACACCACATTCTTTTATACCCAACTGTTGATGTGAAAATAGGATGATTCTGTATCTTAGCTATTGTGAATAGTGCTACAGTTAATATGGGAATGCAACTATCTCTTTGGTATGCTTATTTTATTTCTTTTAGATATATACTCAGAAATGAGATAGCTGGCTCTTGTGGTAGAAGTATTTTCATATTTTTAAGGAATCTTCGTACTCTCCTTCATAATGACTATCCTTAATTCACATTCCCACCAACACTGTATAGGAGTTCCTCTGTCTCTACATACTCGCCAGCATTTATATTTTGATAATAGCTATTCTAAATGGGGTAAGATATCTCATTGTAGTTTTGATTTGCATTTCCCTGATGACTAATGATATTGTATCTTTTTCATATATTGGCCATTTGTATTTCTCATTTTGAGAAGTCAGATGTGATTTCTTTTTTTTAATATTTATTTCTTAGTTGTAGTTGGACACAATTCCTTTATTTTATTTATTTATATGTGGTGCTGAGAATCCAACCCAGGGCCTCATGGGTGCTAGGCGAGCGCTCTACCACTGAGCCACAACCCCAGCCCCAGATGTGATTTCTTAACTAGCAAAAAAATAATATCACATCTATAAATTTTGCCCCTCTACAGAGGACATTTGGAAATTTCTGAGAAAATTTGTTGGTTATCACAACTGGAAATAGGATGGGGGACATTACTTTCAACAATTGGGGAGCGGCCAGGAATTCTGGCCAATAACCTCTGAAATGCACAGGACAGCTCCTTGAAATAGTCATCCAGCTCCAAATGTCAAGGTTGAAAAACCTGGCTATATCCTCAGGACTCATTTCTTCCCAAATATGAAACAGGGAATTTTACTATCTAAAAAAGAGACACTATAATAATTTACTTGTCAAATATAGCTTTATATGTACTCAATTAAGAGTCTACAATAATGGTTTGATTCTTGAGCATGACTTTACATGTTTTGTGTTAGGTTCCATATATTTAAAAAAAAAAAACAGTGATTGAACCCAGGGGTGCTTAACTACTGTGCCACATCCCCACCCTTTTTTATATTTTATTTAGAGACCAGGTCTCACTGAGTTGCTTAGAGCCTTGCTAAATTGTTGAAGCCATCTTTGAACTTGGGATCCTCCTGCCTCAACATCCTGAGCCTCTGGGATTACAGGCTTGTGCTACCAAGCCCAGCTTTCAATTTCATGGCAATTCTATATCATAGAAAAATTAAGAATTATTGAAATTATTTTAAACATATAAACCTTGTTTAATTTTGCCATTGTCTATCATCATCTTACACTTTAAAACAATCTATGTTATAAAAAGCATTTCAAGAGCCTAGAAGAAGTAGTGTTTTAGATTAATGAAAATTGGACAATAATATAAATTGAACTAATATTATCACTGAATCTTCTTCACTGGTGTTTATCTTGTTTGATTGTATTATTATCTTGACAGAGGACTGAAGACAATGTGTTGTTCTATACTCTTCACAGTGCAATGTGAGGTTCTGTATATGATGATATCAAAAATAGACATCCTCAGATCCCTTTAAAAAAATACCTGAATTTATCTAGGATTACCTCAGTTGTTTCAAATGTAATTGAGACTAACTTGCCTTTATTATAAATCTAGACTATATTGTGTATAAAAGTATTAACTCTCTAAATACGAATTTTTTTGTGTGGTGCTGGGGATTGAACTCAGAGCCTTGTACATGTGAGGCAAGCACTCTACCAACTGAATTATATTGCCAGCCCCTAAAATGTGAATCTTTAAGCTCTCATTTTTTGTTATTTTTCTGAAACAAAGTTTCAGGGTACTATTTTATGATGATTTCAATTTTAGTAGTTCCTTTCTGACTTCCTCCCCTTTTTATGGTAACAGGTGAAGGAAACTCTTCAGAGAATGTATCTAGTGATGATTCTATAGTAGAGTGGATTACCACTTTTAGACAAACTGAAAATATGACAGAAAGGGAGCAAGGAGATAATCAATCTTGGACATCAACAAGTTCAAGTAATTCAAGCAGTAGTGATTTTGGATGTAGTGGAGGAATGAACTTTAACCTTCTTAATAGAAGCCCAGATCAAGAGACTGGACATTTAACCTTTGTAAGACTTCTTGAAAGAGAATATACAGAAAACAGTCAGAGGCAAGGGGAAAATCCACTATCAGAGTCAACAGAAACAAGTTCATCTAGATCCGAAGAAAATGCAACTGAAGCCTTTATGGAGGTCCCACCTACCAGAGATCAGAGAAGATCAAGAAGCAGAAGCCCAGAAATACGGAGAACCAGACCAAGAATTGAAAGGAGTTCACCCCCATATAGACAGCATGAAATGGTAATGAGATTTCATTGCTGTTCATCACCTGAGATTTTTGAACATATTCAGATAAATGAGCCTGAGATATTTGCTAGGATTCAGCAGAGTGGGGAGTTGAGAGGACAGATAACCAGACCTGAATTGCGAAGTCAGGATCTTCTTTCAGCTTCTGCAACAGAGAATGCCTTTCCAGAAGAATATTTTTCAGATACAGCCAGCAACAACGAATCTGAGGGATTCAGACCAAGAAATCCAACCACATGCAAAAACAGAGAGAGACAATTGGAAAATCCACCACAGTCAACAGTAACAAGGTCTTCTATATCAGATGGAAGTGTGACTGAAGCAATCATGGAGGTCCCACCTACCAGAAGTCAGAGAAGATCAAGAAGCAGAAGCCCAGAAACTCGGAGAACCAGACCAAGAATTGAAAGTAGTTTATCCCCAAATAGACAGCATGAAATGGTAATGAGATTTCATTACTGTACATCACCTGAGATTTTTGAGTGTATTCAGGTAAATGAGCCAGAGATATATGCTAGAATTCAGCAGAATGGGGCATTGAGAGGGCAAATAACCAGACCTGAATTGCAAAGTCAGGATCTTCCTTCAGCTTCTGCAACAGGGAATGCATTTCCAGAAGACTATTCTCCAAATACAACCAATGACAATGAGTCTGAGGGATTCAGACCAAGAAATCCAATCACACTAGAAAACAGAGAGAGAGAAGTGGAAAATCCACCCGACTCAATAGTTACAAGGGCTTCTATATCAGATGGAAGTGCAACTGAAACATTCGTGGAAATGCCATCTACCAGAGGTCAGAGAAGATCCAGAAGCAGAAGCCCAGAAACTTGGAGAACTAGACCAAGAATTGAAAGTAGTTCACCTCCAAATAGACAGCATGAAATGTTGATGAGATTTCATTATTGTACATCACCTGAGATTTTTGAGTGTATTCAGATAAATGAGCCAGAGATATATGCTAGAATTCAGCAGAATGGGGCATTGAGAGGGCAAATAACCAGACCTGGATTGCAAAGTCAGGATCTTTTTTCAGCTTCTGCAATAAGGAATGCCTTTCTAGAAGAAAATTCTTCAGACACAGCCAGTGACAATGAATCTGAGGGATTTAGACCAAGAAATCCAACCACACTTTTTGATGATCATCCTAGAGAATTTTTGCTGAGAGATAGCATAGCTAGTAGAATTCAGTTAATACCTGAGACACCAAACAACACTGTCACTTTAGAAAATTATCAGGAAGAATTCAGAAGTAGGTTTTCACATTCTGAGCAGGAAAGTATGAGATTTTCTGTTAATACCATTCGAATACCTGCACCTATTGCAAATGAGACAACATTATGGCATATGACAGAATTTGATGAATCAAGTGACCTCTTGGACAGTGACAATCAATTAGAGCCTAGCAGCTCACTCCTAAGTCAACACATGGAAAAGGAAGAGTCACAGAATGAAAGAGATGATTCTTGTGACAGTATTATTTCTAGTTCTAACTCAGATCCTAGCTGTGATTCTCGTTCAAGTTCCCCAGCAATTTCCAGTTCAAGCAGCAGCTACTTGTCTAGTTCCAGTCCCTTTCTTACATCCAGTTCCGGCTCCAGTAATGATGATTCAGAAATTATCTCAGTGATATTTGAAGGCAATAATGCAATAAATGTATCATCAAGTTCACCATCACAACCCAGGCAAGAAAGTCAACGGACAACACCAGCAACATCTGATGAAAGTGACTCTTGGCCCTTCCTAGCTCAGTTTTTCATCTTAAATGAAGATCATAACCAGCCTACAGGACTTACCAAACAACAGATTGATGACTTCGCAGTAAGAAACGTTGGAAAGGATGATGCATTAAAAGCCTGTAGTATTTGCCTTACAGAATTTAGAGAAAGCAACAAGATCCGCATACTACCTTGCTCCCACGAATATCATATCCACTGCATCGATCGCTGGCTGTCTGAGAACTCTACTTGTCCTGTTTGTCGCAGAGAACTAACAGATTCTGATGGCAGAAAAAATACTAGTTGAGATCTGAATATTCAGCTATATAAACTGTTAAAGTGATGGACAGTCACTAGTTTCATGTTCACTTTTGGAGCAATGTTTAAAATAACCACCTAAATTGAATCTTTGGTTCTGTAAGGAACAATTTGCTTGGTTCTGTAAGGAACAATTTGCTTTCCACTCTCTCTGTTTGAGAATAAAAGAAAACATTAACAACTTGAAGCAGGTGGTACTATGATTTGTACCTGTCTCCCAGAAGTGCATATGTTGAAAGCCTGGTGCTGAATGCAGCAATGTCCAAAGGTGGTGCTTTTATGAAGTAATCAGATCCTGAAGGCTCTGACCTGTTCAATGGATTAATCTATTGATAACAATGTACTACTAGGAGGTAGTGGAAACTATAGGCAGGCAGGATATGGTTGGAAGGAGTAAGTTATGGGAATGTTTGCTATGTACCATTGTACTTTAGAAGCATATAAATTATCTTTTCAATTTTGACGAGGGCTCACAGCTAATAGTTTGCCTTGAGTCTCAGGGTAGACTTTGGATTTAGACTTTTGAGCAGTGCTGGAACTGTTAAGACTATGAGGACTCTTTAAGAGGTAGACTGAATTTTGCACTGTGAGATGGGCATGAGTTTTGATATGCCAGGGACAGAATGTGTCCCAAAAATTCATGTATTGAGAGCTTAGTCACTGACACAGCAATTCTCAGAGGTGGAGCTTTGGGGAAGAAATTGGATACTGAGTTTTCTGACCTATTTGGTGGAATAATCCATTGATAGCTGGACTACAGTAAGGTGGTGGCAACTGTAGGCAGGTGGAACATGGTTGGAGGAAGCAGGTGAATGGGAGTATGCCTTTAGAGATATATCTTGTCCCAAACTCATTGTTTCCCACCCTTCCTGCTTTCTAGCTGCCATGAGCTGAGTAGTTTCCCTCCACCATGCCCTTGATATTCTGCCTCACCTCAGGCCTAAAGCACTGGAGTCATCTCACCATGAATTGAAACCTCTGAAACTGTGAGCCAAGATAAATCTTTCCTCTTTAAAGTTGTTTGGGCCAGATATCTTAAAAGATCACTGTTAGGAAAATATCACTAACACAGGTGTCTTACCCGACAATAAAGAACAATTCCACAACATGGTAAGTTCAATTTCAATAGAATCATAGCAAGTTCATTGAGTTGGGCTATTTCTGATTTCAAGAGAAGTGTCTTACCATGGTAAGTTCCAAACAAATCCCAACAGTCTTATCTAATCATATGAATCCCAAACACCTCATGGCCCTATCCTTCTGCATGCAAACAAATAACAACCAAACCAAAATAATTAAGAAGCAATGTAACATCTGTTGTAGTCACTGGCATACTGACATAAAGAAGTGAAAGTGCATTAATAGCATGATTTAAAAAGCCTCAAAACCCTTCACTTCCTTTATACTCAGTAGTTAATCCCACTCCCTCACACAACCTTAAAGTTTTTCCTACTCCCTGCTAGCTCTGTTTCAGTTAGGGCCCTAGCCAGAAATAGACATCACACTTGAAAACGGTGATAGAATGGCATTTAATCAAGGGAATACTTAGTAAAACGTGTAAAGAATGAAGACATGATGAGGTACCCTGAGGGTAGCAACTGTAAGAAACCAGTGTTATTCACCAGACTTAAAGGGACAGAGAGAGGCAGTTTTTTCCTAACTCAATATCTAGTATATGTAGTAGAGAGTCACCCAACAAGAGCTTAGATAGATGCCTTTAGATAAACAAATCAGCCATCATCAATCTATAAAGATTGAAAGTGTGAGACTGGAGAAATATTTGTCTTGACATTTTAATTTCCTCATGCCTTCTGATCTTCTGTTGATAGTTCCTATTCTAGTTTCCCATTATTGTGATTAAATACCTGAGATAATCAACTTGAGGGAAATGTTTTCTTTAACTGAAGGTTTCAGAGGTTTCAGTCCATGGCTGTTTGGCCCTGTTGTTTTGGGCCTGTGGCAGCATAGTTCATCACAGTGAGCGCATGTGGCAAAGGAGGTCTAATGCGCAAGGAAGTAAAGAGAGAGGCAGGAATAAACATTCCAATATCCCTTCAAGGATACACCTCCAATGATATAACTTATTTCCACCAGATCCCACATGCTAAAGGGTCCACCACCTCCCCAAAGCACCATGGGTTGAAGACCAACTTTTAATACATGAATCTTTCAGGGACACTGAAGATCTAAACTACAGCATTCCATTCCCCAGTCCTAAGAACTAATATCCACCTCATAATATGAATGCATTTAATCAATTTAACAGTTCCCAAAGTTTTATCTGTTCCAGCATTGCTCAAAAGTCCAACTACAAAGTATTCTTTGAGACTCAAGGCAAACTCAGCTGTATGCCCCTGTAAAACCCAAAAAACAAGTTACATGTTTACAAAATCCAATAGCACAGAGTAATTCCCATTCCAAAATGGAAAAACAGGAAAATAATAAGGAGGAATGAACCAAAGAAAGACTAAAATCCAGCAGGGCAAACATTAAATCAGCACAGGTTAAACATCCCCATTCCAAAATTGAATAATGGGAAAATAATGAGATATTGAAACAAAACTGAAGCTCAGCAAAGCAAACATTAATTCCTGTAGCTCCAATTACAGCATTTGGCACAGACACTGGCATAATATGAGCTACAAAGGACTTGGACAGTCCCACCTGTATGACCTCATTTGTGGCAGCCCACTCGGCAACTCTCCTGGGCTGCCTCTACTCACTGCCTACAGCTTCCCTAGGCAGGCATTCCATGTTTCTGGCACCTCTAAATTCTTGAGTTCTACACTGCAGCTTTGGCTTCACTCTCATAGTTTCATACATTACCCACTCAGGAACTACTTGCAGGGACCACAATCCTGTCACATATTGCTTGGCCTTCCAGGCATTCCTTTGAAATCTCACTGGAATCCTCCTATATGACCCCATAACTCTGGCATTCTGCATGCCTGCAACATCATAACAGCATAATGTGAACAATGCCAAGTTTCGTTAACAGCAAGAGCTGGTTTGGGACCCAGTTGAACCATGGGTTCAGGGACTCTAATTGTCTTGACGGTTAAACATAGGGAAATGAGTTCTAGAAATATAATTCCCTAGGAAGACCTTTCCTAGTATCTTCCTTGGGGGCTCTCTTGTGAAAAGAAAGTATTTGAGTTCTAAGGGTTTGTCACCTTCTCATTACTTCTAAAGATGAAGTATATTTGTTATTTCATTTATCCTAAAAGACCTGTGGGGTAGAAAAGAAATGGGGGTTATAAAAAATCAAATAAGAATTGTAGAATGAAGAAAACATATAACTAAGTGACTCACTGGATAAGCTCAATAGTAAAATAGTGATGACAGAGGCTAGAACAATGAACTTGAGGACAGACACATCATTAGAATTTACCTAATGCAAACAACAGAAAGACAATAAACTGAAAAAATGAAATAAACAAGAGCCTCAGAAATATTAAGTATCAGAAAACATAAACTCTGTAGAGAGTACCAGGAAGAGAGAAGAAAAATGGCTGAAACTTCCCAACTGTGGCAAAAGACTGAATCTCAACAGATTAAAAAAGGTAAGCAAACCCTAAATAGAATACACCCTAAGAAATCCCCAGCAATACATACCATAATTAAATTCTAAAAACAAAAAGCAAAGGAAAAATATCTTAGATTCAGACAAAGAAAAATATTTTCCTCATAAGTTTTGTAAATCAAATGTTAAAATACCAAGTGGTATTCGGTGTATTCAATCAAATATTTAAAAGTTAAGACAGTAAAGATCCCTACATGGAAACAAGGTTTCCATATTTCAAAGTGGTAAAGAAATCGATCCCATTACACAGTGTTAAGTCATATATACATATTGCAATATTCAAAGAAACTAGTAAAGAATAAAAACCAAATAATATACCCCAAAACAACAGAAATAAAGGAGTGCTAAATATGTTCAAGCATGGATAGGAAGGCAAAAGAAGAAAACAAAGAAACAGAGAAACCAAAGCTCAAACTAGAAAAATAAGTAAATAAAAATACTTAGTACTAAAATGTCAACATATAGCGTAATTTGAAATTAAAAGACAGAAAGAAATGTGCAGAGTGGATAAAAAATAACCATAATATATTCCATTTATAAGAAGCACACTTGAAATTTAATAGCATAGGTAAGTTGGATGTAAAAAGACATAAAAAAGGATACACAGTGGAGTTTTTAATAAAAACAATTTGAGAACAAAATCAAGAATGACTATAGAAATATCAACATAAATATCAGAGCAAAAAAATATTACCAGAGGCAGACAGTACATAAAAATAAAGAGATCATACCACTAGGAAGACACTAAAAAAAATAAAATCTTAAGTATATGTGCCAAATAACAGGGTCTTGAAATATTTGCTGCAAAACTAATAGTGAATATAGAAATAGACAAAGCTGTATTTGGGTCATAAATACTCTTTTCAAGATGATAGAACAACTAGACAGAAAATCACCAAGGACAGTACAAACAACATAATCTAAAATACATGTAGAATACTTGAACCCAAGAGTAGAATACACATTTTTCTCGAGCATCCATGGAACATCACCAAGACAAAATGTATCTTTGATCATAAGCAAATCTCCACGACCATAAACTAACTGAATGCATACATTATCTGACCATAATTGAATCAAACTAGAAATCAACAGAAAGACAGTAGGAAAATTTACAGAGATGAAAAATTAAATAGCACTCACCTAAGTAATCTCTAGGACAAAGAAAAAAATTACACATTAAGTTAAAAGCTATAGAGAACTGAATGAAAATGAAACTCCAGAGTACCATAGTCTATGTAATGCAGCTATAGCAATTTTTTCAGAAATTTTATTGGATGAAATCTTTATATTAGAAAAAGGAAAGGTTTCAAATCAATAATCTTAGTTTCTTACCTCCTTAGGAAAAAAAATGAGCAAAATAAAGCAAGCACAACAGAAGAAACAAAGATAATAAATCACTGATATCTAAAAGAAAAAAAACAAAAATGAAACAAAAATCTGGTTATGAAAAATTTAATAAACTTGATAAACTAACAAAACTGACAAAATAGAAAATACATATAAAGAAATACTTGAACAACAAACAAAAAAACAGTTGCACTTGCTAGGTGTTGTGGTACAAGTCTGCAATCCCATGATTCAGGAGGCTGAGGTAGGAGGAT